CCAAAGAATTGGAAGATAGAAAAGATAGTTTCTCAGAACTAGTGATATATGACTTTCTTCTTTCAAACATCCGTGAAGATGAAGAGAGGGTCTTGCCGTCATTCACCGTTGACACAGATATAAGAAAGAACCAAAGCCAGCCATATATATAGTAACAAGAAACTAAACTTTCTATAGTCCAATAGCCACAAAATTTCAAGAAAACTACAAAAACTGTTCATATGTACATATCTCCAAAAAACTGACATTCACAATCCCATTACTTATAAGCTGTTAAATGATTCTGCTAATTGGGTCTTTCTCCAGTTTAGCTTGAATAGTCTGAGCTGCCACTCCATTACCAGAGCCTGTCCAGTCCTTTAAACAAGATATAGAGAAGTTAATAATAGACTTAACAGAGAACGGAATTTGATCAAAAATGCACTTATTCCTCGAAGTCCATAAACTCCAACAAACAGAAGCAAAAATGGTTCTCCAAAGTGAACCTTCCATTCCTCTCAGAGTTTCAATCCTATTCATAAGCTCATCCAAAGTATTAGTCCAATTGAAAGGTAAGAAGTAGTGTAAGAAGTGCTGCCAAACTTTTCTGGATATAGGACAAGAAAAGAACAAATGTTCTCTGGTTTCCAAATCAAGCCCACAAAAAGAACAAAGAGAATCTCCAAGCCAGCCCTTAAGCTGAAGAATCTCTTTAGTATGCACTTTGTTTAGAGAGAGAAGCCAGAGAAAAATGCGAACTTTGGAGGGGATAATTGCATTCCAAATGACTTTGTATAAAGGACTCTTAATGCCTCTCCTTACAAGGAAATTGTAAAAAGATTTGACCGAGAACTGTCTGTTAGAGGTGATAATCCATGTAGGTTGATCACAGTTATTAGAAGCATGAAAATCTTTGATGAGATTCAGAAGATCAGTTTTCTCTGCTTGAGCACGAGGAAGAATACTTCTTCTCATCAATAAATGCCACTGCCACTCATTATCAATATAGAGACCTTGGCTTCTAATAGATGCATTAGAGGACAAGGCTAACTTGTAAGATTCAGGGAAAATACTAGCTAAGTTGCTGTAGCCAGTCCACTTATCTTCCCACAAGGCTAACTTGTAAGATTCAGGGAAAATACTAGCTAAGTTGCTGTAGCCAGTCCACTTATCTTCCCAGAATCTTATACTATCTCCAGAGCCAATCAACCATTTTATGTTATGAAAAAAGCATCCTTTTTAGATAAAACATCATTCCAGAATGATGAGTTAGATGACTTGAAGACTGTGGCCTGCAAATTAGTGTTATTGTGAACATAAAGATGGTGAAGAAAATTGCCAGATGTTGAATTTCTATCCAAACACTTCCATAGCCATTTGGATAAAAGAGAACAATTGAACAATGAAATATCCTTAACTCCTAGACCTCCCTCATCTTTAGTTAAACAGACTTTCTTCCAGTTAACGAGGCATTTGAAGGAATTAGGATCTGTCTTTCCTGTCCATAAGAAGTGTTTCCTGATTTTATCAATGTCTTTAATAAGCCATTTAGGTAGCTTATAAAAAGACATATAGTATAAAGGAACTGAAGTAAGGACTGAATTTAACAGGACCAGTCTCCCACCGTAAGATAAAACATTCTTCTTCCAGGATGCTAGTTTCCTATAGAGATTGTCTATCAGTGGCTGCCAGTCTGATTTTGATAACTTGCCATATTTAAGAGGTAACCCAAGATACTTGATAGGAAGTTGAGCAACTTTACAGTCCAGTGAAGACGCTAGAGCATGGGCCTTGCGATGGATATTGCCAAAATATATAAGAGAAGATTTGGAATAGTTAATGCTCAGACCAGAAACGTCCTCAAAAATGTAGAGAATTGTTTTAAGAATAGAGATATCATGTAGGGAGCTTTTTACAAAAAGCAGTGTATCATCAGCAAATTGAAGTATCCTCAGAAGATTTAAAGGATGCTTAAGACCAAGAGATGATAACAGACCCTCCTCAGCATTGTTCATGATCATTTTGTTCAAAACATCTACAGCAATATTGAATAACATTGGGGATAAAGGATCACCTTGCTTAATGCCTCGTTTACAAGGGAAAAACTTTGTGGGAGAACCATTAACAAGAATAGCACAAGAAGAGGATGAAATAATTTGAAGAATCCATGAACACCATCTAGTTCCAAAGCCCCTAGCTCTCAACAAGTCAACGAGAAAAGCCCAGTCTATAGAATCAAAAGCTTTAGCAAAATCAATCTTAAACATAGCAACTTCCTTCTTTTTTTTTGAACAAGCATGAATCATTTCATTAGCTTGGAGAATAGAATCAAGAGTAGATTTTCCAGCTTGAAAAGCAGATTGTGAAGATGCAACCAAAGATGACATGTGATGTGACAGCCTATTTGCCAAAATTTTAGAGGAAATTTTAAAAATGCAATTGATAAGGCTAATAGGTCTGAAATCTGTCACCTTAGAACAGTCCTTGATTTTGGGGACCAAAGTGATAAAAACTTTGTTGACTCTGTAGATATGGGATGGGTTGTCATGAAAAAAATGCATAAGAGCAATAAGATCTGTCTTAATCAAATCCCAAAAAGTTTGATAAAAAGCCATAGAGAAACCATCAGGTCCTGGAGCTTTATTTGCATTCATACCAAACACAGCACTTTTAATTTCTGCTTCAGAAAATTGATCTTTCAGAGATAATAGATTAGTCTCTTGTTCAGGATATAGAGTAGACCAATCAAGATGCATGTGTTTATTTTTGGTATGCCCAAACAAGTCATGATAATATTTGAAAAAAGCTTTAGAGACATCCTCATCTCCAATGAAATCTTTGTCTTGATAGGTAACTGAGGATATGAAGTTAGCTTTTTTATGGAAGGAGGCTGTTTTGTGAAAGAAGGATGTATTTGCATCACCCTCTTTTAACCATTGTACACGAGATCTTTGATGCCAATAAGTTTCCTCTTCCTTAATGATAGATATATAAGAATCATGAAGAGATTGCTTCTCATTAAACTCCGAATCTGAAAGAGGCCTTTGCTCTTCAATCAAATCAAAGGCATTGATTTTTGTTAAGACATTTGACTTTCTAGAAGAAATACATCCAAGGACATTCTTTTTCCACCATTTAAGCCTTTTCTTAAGGAGCTTTAATTTAAAAATGAAGATATCAACAGGATTACCATGAACTTGGAAAGAAAGCCAACATTTAGAAACAAAAGGGATGAAGTCTGTGTTATGGAACCAACTTCTCTCAAAACGAAAAATAGGATGAAAACTCTTCATCCCACCACTATCAAGAATAATAGGGAAATGATCAGAACCAGTTGCAGGTGGAGAGGATTGAATGCACAAAGGAAACTTATTTTCCCAATCAGAATTAATAAGAAATCTGTCAAGTCTTGCCAAAGAGGGGTTATGCCTTTTATTTGACCAAGTAAAGCATCTACCAGATAAAGGTAAATCAATGAGTGATAAAGAGGAAATGAAGTCCCTAAAAGACTTAATATCCCTAAGAGATCCATCACGACCATTACGTTCATCAGAGGATAAAGTAACATTGAAATCTCCACATAAAATCCACGGACCAGGAAGAATGAAACGAATTCTGTCTAACTCCCACCAGCAAACTGCTCTATCTTCTCTGTCAGTAGGAGCATAAACGGATGTGAAAATAAAAGACCAATTTGTTGGTTTATGATGAAGATGAACTGAAACAGAGAAGATCCCTACATAAGACTGAACTAAGGAAAAAGCATCAGACCAACCTACTAAAACTCCTCCTCTAGATTCTGTGGAATTAAGATGACACCATTGAGAAAGTCTCATGCCCCCAATTGATTGAAGTTTTTTAGGAGAAGGATCACAAAGTTTACTTTCTTGAAAACCAGCAACATCAATATAATGACTATGGAGATAATCCTTAACCATCCGCCTTTTAATCGGGCCATTGAGACCCCGAACATTCCAAGAAATAAATTTCATGAAGAAGGAAAATATAAACCAAACCAACAACTGACCCAAAAAACAGGCAATCATCATTTAGCCTCTATATTCCTCTCTACTTCTTTGGATTGAATAATACTCATAGATTTCTCCGAAAGAATGACACCACAATTACCAGCAATAAGATCAAGATCATTCTTATCAAGTGAATTAATACACAGATCTTAAATGTTGCGCCAGAATTGGATAGCAAAAGATTTAAGGTTAATAAAATTATTTTAAGAGTTTTCGCATGATTATCTTTAGTGATGAAAAAGGATATGGATATATTCACGGCATTCGCACCCAATGATTTTCTTATCCCGTGGGGTACTACCACATAACTATATATAGCCATGAACTTTTTTAAAATTTTTATTTTATAGGATATATATGAATACAAAATGTAGATACAAATAAAGAGTAAACGGATCGACCCTCCCCGACTTTAGTTAGTTTATGTGAAGTTAATGTAACAATGGACCATTTCAATTCTCAAATTATCACGTACTAGGATTATAGCTAACACTAATTTGTGTCACGTCAATGGTATACGTACATATTTTCTATCGTATTTTTTTTTTAATTTTGGGCGGACATGAATATGAGTTCTTTTTGGCCCTACAATGTACATATACTTACGTCTATATTTGTCATACGAATATGAGTTCTTTGAGCTTTGACTCGACTTCTCCCTTGGTATACATATGTTAATCCTTAATTATGAGTTTGCGGCTTGATCTCAACACACGTACTTGATCATAATAGCTTATGCAGTAAAATCATGAAATGTTGTGACAACATTCTTCATTTTCTGATAGAAAGATTACAAATATTTCTGAGGTCCTGCAAATATGCTGATCACTCTCAAAAAGGCAGAAGTACAGACTAAACTAAACACGAACAGATAACATCTGGTACTAGCCTACAAGCTTTATTTAATACTAGTAACAAAGTTTTTTTTTTCAACAATTATCTTGGTTAACAAACTCCTTGCTGCCAAAGATCGAACATAACAAAAGAGAAAGCTTAAAAAGACGCAATTACATAAACATGGCATATAAAGTTGCTCAATTTTAGTAAAGGAATTGCTCGACATTTGTTAAATTGATAAATAAATCCGAGAAAAGCCCAAGAAAGAAAAAAGAGAATACTCTTTTATTTTCCCTCTTAGACTAAAAAAAAGAGAATACTAAGAAATAGGGAGCCAAATAACGAGTAAGTGCTCCAACAATACTCCCCAAATGACTCCTTATCTCATGTCCTAGACTAGATATAGGGAGTAAGAGGGGGGAAAGTTGCTCTAACAATGTTTCGTATGTTAAGACTAAATATAGGGAGTCGCTTTGTTATATCCTTGATTTGGGATACCAAATCATATTCCCTATTATTTAGTCTCCAACATAGCGAGCCTGTTGGAGCAACTTTTTCCCCTCCTACTCCCTATATTTAGTCTAGGACATGAGATAGGGAGGCTGTTGGAGATGCTCTTACAACTCAAAATCCCTCCAATCTATGCTATCCAAACTTGGGAAATCGTCTTTGTAATTTCCACAACTCATAAACGAAACATCCTCCAATTTGAGATCATTGAATTCCATATCCTCCACTTCCCTAAACAGCTCCGAGTGCGAGCCCAAACCCATATCCAAATCCAACCCAAAATACAAATCCAAAGTTGGTATTCGCACATCTTTCTCCTCCTCCAACATTCCCGCAAATAATCGCCCATCCTCGTTGCAAACTCCTACCGCATTTTCTGTAATCGGGTCGGGCGCGTGTAAAACAGAAGAGGGAGAATTACGAACGGGTTCATTCTCTCCCGAAGAAATCGCCGGGCTCGATATTTTCACCTCGCGAATGTTCTTTTTCGATAAATTCGACGTCGCGTTCTTTTGCTCCTGGATCCGCTTCGCCGCCTCCTGATAAGCGTTAGAAGCCTCTTCGGCCGTACAAAAGGTACCGAGCCAGACCCGTTCTTTCCTTATCGGGTCTCGGATCTCCGCTGCCCACTTCCCCCACGCGCGCTGTCTTACTCCTTTATATTTATTATTATTGTTATTTCTTTTATAATTAGGAGCGTCCGTAGTTTTGTTTTCTTTTTCCAAAGGGCCATTTTTTGGGATCGTGACCTCCAAGACCGTCCTTTTTCTCCTCGCGTGACGACCATCTTCTTCATCCGAGGAAGAATCGGTCAGGTCAGGATCATCATAGATAACGCGGATTTTTCTTGGACAAATTAATAACGTCGATTTCTCCATGATCTCATGCTTCTCTCTGAATTCCTTTGAAATTGCTGGAGCTGATGAGTTGATCAGTTTGTTTGCCCTTATCCTCAAACTTCTCCTCTGCAAAGGCATTGGCATCTCCTTGATTTCGAGCTAAAGAACCTCTCGAGAAAAATCTTTATGTGTAGAAATCCAGAGTACTTGACTCCAAAGCCGACTCTGCGACGACAGAAATAGGAACAAAATTAAAAAAATAAAAAAAATCGAAGGAAAAAAATTTATGCATTAGACTGAATCCGCTGGGGATAGAAAAATGTGTCCGTACCTTACGGATTTCAGTTGCATGGAGCAACAAAGAGGGGTTGAAGTGAGGGATGAGAACTCAAATTTGCTTTCCGCAGCAGAAGACATAAAACCCTTGCGCAACTTTCTCTTAACACTCCAAAAATGGAGGGAAAATGTACAATATTATAAGGGATCAGAATCCAATCAATAAACCTGCAAAAAAATTTTTTTTTTTTACTACGATAGCATTGTAAAAACTATGTGATCATTTAATTTTAATTATTATGTGCAGAGAGAGATAAAAAAAAAAAAAAGTAAACTGACCTCTTAAATTTCTTCTCCTCTCTAAACTGGAGAGGGTGGGGCATGAGAAAACGAAACTGACGGTGAGAATTTATTATGTTAATTAACTTGGGAGAGAAGTATTAGAAACGTCTTTTTTGAAAATATTTGAGTGGTTTTAGGATAGTAATCGACATAAAAAGATTGTTTTTCCTTGGTTTGTTTTGATATTTGTTCAAGATTTTACGGGTTATATTTAGTAGGGTGATAGAGTCAAATAGGAAAGTAAATAACTAAAACAATTAATTAATTTTAAAAAGGTTATATATTTGATGGAATTGGACCTTTTCCGAGACCCGGTTTTTGTGCTATTTGTTGTTAATATTACTAACTTTTAGGTAGTTTGTTACTCTTCATGGGTTCTGTATACATATAATGAGAGAGAGAGAGAGGGGGGAGAAAAAAAAAAGGAAGGTAGATGATTGGAAATAAAAATTAAAAAGATGAGGCATAGAATCTCTTTCGTGATGCGCGCATGAGATTTTGTGTGATTGGATTATATTTAGTAGCTATAACTTTGATAGTACAAAATCAACATGATGTGCGCGAAACTTGTTTATAGATATGACTTTTAGCAATAAATTTTTAAGTCGAAATTAAAGCCTATACACGTACAGTAACGCTGGCATAGTAGACATAAATGTTAATAATTGACATGTTATACATGTTTTTATCATGTAATTTTTGTAGAAATGTATCAATTTTTTTTTAGGTATATGATATTAAATGTGCACTAAAAAATGTGTACCCTTGCATCGTTGGACTTTGCAGTTCGTGCACCGATCAAATGTCTAACATCTCTTTGATACACGTTTAATGGTGTGGACATGGTCCACTTGATTTTCTCAAATTATGATGTATACTAGATGGTGATGATGTCGATAAAGAAAAAAGTTCGTAAAAAAAATTTCATATAAAATTTTGTAAATAAATTTTTCTTTCCGACAAAAATTTGAAATACCCTGCTTAATTTTAATTGGAGCTGGCATCTATTATATCGAATCCTCTCTATATAATCTATTTGCTCACTCGCACTTCTAAGGAATCTATAAGAAAAGTGATGGTTATGACGCTGATAAGGAGAAAGTTAATTAAAGAAAAAAAAATTCGTGGAAAATGTTGAAGCGAAATTTTTCTTTCCCACAAAGTTTTAAAATATTCTTCTTATTAGTTTTAATTGGAGTTGGCATCTATTATACTAGTAAGAATCCTCTCTATTATCTGTTTGCTCCCTTGTAGTCCTTAGGAATCTGTGAGAAAAGTGGATCCGATATCTAAAATTAAGTTAAAGTCAAAATTCTCAATTAAATTTATATATTTATCCAGGCGAAAAGTTTGTTGAGAAAAATAGAAGGGAATGACTACTGGAAGCGAGTTTCAGAATCAGAAGTTTTCAATTTTTTTCAAGAAATTCGCAGAGAAAGATAAATAGGAACAAGGTTCCAATTAAAATAGTGTGAATGATATAGATTATTCTAAGACTATCAGCAATGGAGTCTTATTAATTGGAAAGAGACACCCACTAGTGTCCTATTTGTTGTCTTATTTGCCACCAAGGATGGAGAGAGACTCCATTGTCTCAAATAAATGAGACGGTCTCAAATTCAACATGGGCCCATGCTTTTTCTGGAAATCCGCGCGGTGTTTGAAAAAAGCTTTCATCTTTTTTTTTTCTTTTTTTTCTTTCTTCCTCTTTCTTCCTCTTTTTAGTAATTTATAGATATAGAGTTTATTTGTAAATATATTTTTTCATAAAAATTATCATTTTTCATAATAAAAAATTATCTACAAATCAATATCCACTTTTCTTATTTATTTTTTAAAAATAAAAAATTTTATTTCTTTATTTTTAATAAAGTTAAATATTTTGTTTAAAATTTTCATTTATTACTCAAATTACCCAACTACCCTCAATTATACATTTTCATTTATTTTTAATATAGAGTTTATTTGTAGATATGTTGGTGATTTGGAATATTTAGAAGTGATAGTGGGGTCCAAATTAGACATGAATAAGACACCATTGGAAATGGTGAATGTTTGTGGGGTGATCTTGATTATGTGGAAGAGAGAGAATATTATGTGGCATGTTGGGAATGACAATTAAATAGGACACCATTGGAGATAGTCTTAGATTAATATGATAAGCAAAAGCAGGTATTGTGCTATAAAGCCTCTGTATAGCTCATTTATTTTTTGAATCTTCCACTTTTTTTTTAGTTTTTTTTGGTTTTTTTTTTCTTTTATTTTTTCCTTTAATTTGGTTGAGATTTTGGGAAATAATTCTTTTTGGGAGGATAAAGCAAAGGACGTTAACCACTGATAAGTGATAACTCCAGCAAAATAGTTTATTTCTCAAATTAGCAACAGGAGACCCTTTTAAAACATCTGCGCGCACAAGATAAAGCGATGAGAATCTAAAGACAAATTAAGGTAGTTAACCAGCAGAACAATGCTAGCAGCGAGCTTCATCAAAAGAAACACAGGTTCCAACTTCATGCAACAGACAGAATACAAAGGACAAAGTTGTGACACGTACTTATGAATCTCAAGGCAACCACGATCTCAAGAAGAAGAAGAAAAGAACTAAAAGATATTTTGAACTTTGTTTAATAATTGGTGCGTGTATTACATCTATTCACCAATGTAATGATCTTAAATTTTGTGAACTTTGTTTAATAATCTGTGCCCTCCGTGCCCAACAACCTTGGCTCTCCGATAAATAGTTTTTGGAGTACCGATGGCAGCGACTGTAATTTGACCATGTTATCATCAAAGCGGTCACAGGTACTAAAAAGGTTATTATGAACGCAGAGAGGGTTTTGAAAATTAAGGGAAAGGGACTTGAGGGAGAAGATTTAAAATAACCTGAAGTCTGTTAAATTAAAAGTTTATTTGTATAGACTTGTTGATGATGCTAATTATTTATTGGCTTGCTGAGGAATACGCATAAGAATTTTTTAGTGTAGAAATTTGCGAAACGTTTGGGATGATGAAGTGAGAAGGAAAATATTACTATAATTACAATGTTACCCTTATAATTAAAAATAAATAAAAATCTAATTTTGAAGCATCGCTCTATATATTTATAAAAAGCTCCTGTTACAGTCGATGACTTGCACAAACGTGGACATTAATCACAGTTATAAACTTATTACCCTCTAGAGAATTTAACGGGTAATTTTGGATTATAACCCATGTAGCTTCTAATCTGCAAATAGAATAAACAAGCGGGTTTTAAGCAAAAGTGATTGATAAATTTAGAGGATAACAGTTCATTTTTAATAGTAGAGTGTTTCGTCATCACTACAGTCAAAACAATGAAAAAACCTTTAATAAGATTGGAGAGAGATAAATGAGACTCGGAATTTTGTGAAATACGACGAATATCATGAACTTTCATCTGGTCAAACTTTGTGACATATAACCCACCCAAAAAAATAAGCTAGATAACTCCGGCTTATTTTTTAGTAGCAATAAATCATTTGCTAAGCATGCCAAACATGCTCTAAATCACAACTCCAATCGCAACCAACTTGGAAGAAGAAAAGTCCAAAAGGTCTAACAAATATCTACAGCTACAACTATAGTCAGAAAACTGCAAAACTTTATCATCGAACCAAAGAAACTATAACTACAACTGAAACTGCATTTTGACAACTATAGTTACAAATTGCAGAACTTCGTTGTTAAACCAAGCGACTAGGGGTACGGCTGGCATTGCACGTGACAAACAGTTGCAGGAACCGTAGTGGCATGCAACTAGAATTTGCTTAGTTAGATACAATAAACAAAGCAGCCTCTAAGTTCAAACTTCTCATCGGCTACAAATTTAATTGTTCCGACAGCACTCAACGTGGCCTGAAAATAAGAGAATAATCAGACAACCATAAACCAATTTAACTAAAAAAAAACAATTAGCAACATATTGCATAAATAGGTACTCCCTGCCTGATTCAAAAGTTTCTCATAGCAATAGGGAGCATTCATCAGAAAGTGCTAACGAAGCTAACAAAATGCGCCATTTAAAATAAATTATACGTTTCGTTAACAGCATATAACTTGTCACAGAGTTTTGAGAAAAGAGTAAGAAGTAGTGGGCATAATTCTCAACGAGTAGTAGTAATATACGTGAATGGTCTGGTCATTGAGGGTTTTAAATTGAGGAATGATATCGATTTTAGCAATAAATGAAATGCGTAAGGAATAATAATCGAATGGGTAGCTATCCCTATAGTCCAAATTTCAATTCAAGCAATCTTTTTCGCTCGGCCAACTGAAGGGAAAGTTGTGCCATCCTTCTTGGAGCCAGGAGCTTCAGGTTTTCTCGCCCAAGCAGGAGCTCGATCTGGCTCATAGCGATAGTCATAGAAGAGCTCCTCTCCTGCACTTATTCGCTCTTTTGCAAATATACCAACTCTATGATCCCCTGCTACCATTATAACCTTTGCATAGCAGTTCGGATCAGGGGAATGGTTGGCAAACTTCAACTTGTCACCTTTCCGATAAGCATCCAGAACAAACTGCACCAAAATAATAGAAAAGTCAAAGAGATACCGTGGTGTAAGTATAACCAGCAAGCTTTTTATTGACAAAGGGGCACAAAAAAAAAGACATACCTGGTCATTGAGGTTGAAAAGAAAAGATGAATTTTCACGGTCATATATCTTCCCGCGTTTATCCGCTTCTCTATGAGAGATTAACTCCCCGGTGTACTCCCCAAGGTATTCGTGTTTTCCAACGCTATTCTGTAGAAAACATCAAGTCGTCACTTGTTTGAAGGTAGAAGGAAAATTAGAAATTTGTGGAGATAGTTTTACCTTGAGGAAAGCACCCCAACCCGAAACATCAGATCTCCCAAGTAAAACCTACAAGCATATATCGCTAAATATAAAAGGTTTGCTTCATTTTTTTTCAACGATAGAACCAAAAAAAATTAGGGAGGTCATGACTAAAACTTTCATTTCGAAAAAATCATCACAAATCAAGCAAGTGTTCAAAGGATTCCTGTAGCACAGAAGTAAAACAAAAATAAAAGCTACATCAACCAATATCATATTCTTCGTAATTGCTTTCAATAAGTTCTTCTGCACCTACCTCTAGGTTCTCCTAATTTAATTAATTATAATCTTATTGCTTCAGTGCATTTTGCAGACCTCATGCACGCAGCCAAACAACCCTAATTGAGTTGTTATATTTTATCCTGTATTCTGTGTATAATTATCTCTCCTTCATTTCTTCCCGTGCTACTTATTTCTCCAACATATATACATTTAATTGCATCAATATACCTACTAGACAACTGTTCATTTTCTAAAATTCATTGCACTATTTTTTTGGATTAATAAAACACACTTTGTATATCCTTTCTCTTCTCCTTCTATCTACCCATCAATCATTTTCGTACTTAAGTTTCATAGTTAACCTCACACACATAATCAAATTGGTTTTGCGATAAACTAGTCTCTTTTCTGAGTCATTGCTTAATTACCCTCACCCAAGTTTCATGCCATTGCTCATAAAATGTGATACAGCGTTAGCTTGAACAACTTTGTATATTCCCATTATTCTTGTGTATTGGTACTGAAATGATTCATTGAAGGTGGCCAAAGAATGAAATTAAAGATTATCAACAGAGAATCTAGCATCACAAAAGGACAAGGCACTATCCATGGGGCTAGCACTGCTGATATTATACTACACAACAAGTAATGTTATTCCATAGACTACAGGTTTGCAGCCCACAAGGTCCACAATAGAATTTGTAACAGACCATTGCAACTAAACTGAAGTCTGCAATCTAACATCGAAAACTTAGAAGAACTGGTAGTTAACAATATTCATATTCAATAGCTCATGTAAAAGTTTCTTGTTTGTTTACCAATCTGCTAATATACGAAATGGCAGTGAACATTAAAAACGCATTAATTGAAGAATGTAATTTCATAGGTAACTTTACCCTTTGCTGTTGTTTCAGGAGAAGCTTCATGTTCCTGCATTCATAATTATCTCCTCTTTGACTAGGTACACCTAAACTACCATCACCACACCTACATAGAAAAATATAGAGATAATAGTGAAAATATAATTGGAATTATTACCGAACTTATGAAAATGATCACATTGTGAGCAAAGTCAGGAAAGTATACTATCGTTAGGCTTTGAGAATCATACCCAATCCAGCAATTTCTGCAAATATCAGGATCACATTCTCTATCAGCAGCAAAACATGGGCATTGACGACTTCGACATTGGCTCTTTGCACAATGACACCCTCGAAACCGATTCTTGCATATCTTGGGACACCTGTTGTTGACAAAGATAATAAACTATCAAAAAGCAAAGCACAACCCAGTAAGTTTATAGTCCTAAGGGTTTCATCCAAAGGAAGATAGGTGTAACCCTAATGCCCCATTCAGTACACGGGAATGAGATCAACTGAGAATGGAATAAAATAAGGAATGGAACCAAATTAGTATGGGGAATGGAACGCTCATTTCCGTTCTCACTTCTAGGTGCAATTAGAGAATTAAGTGGGAATGACAATCTTTTTAATTTTGGCATGGGTAATGGGTAATTAATAAGCAATCACGGCACAGTTAGTGTGTATTTTGATTTTTTTTTCATTCCATCTTATTCCTTACCAATTCATTGGGAATGCCCATTCTCACAAAATATGGGAATGGTTGAGAAGTCAAAATTGGCATTCTAGCTTCCAAAAACATGTTGTGCCTGGTACGCGTGAATGAGAAGTGGGAATGAGCATTCTATTGCCACCCATTCCCGCAAACCAAACAAGGGAACAAGTATTCTCATCCTAAATAAGACCCAAGTGATTTTCAGCCTAACCATGTCATTGTGGCCTACTTGTTACAAAAGCCTCAGATATAGGAAATTCTAGTTAGGAG